TTTTAATCATATTTTGATGTACAAAATTGCTGCCCCCCCCCAGTACGTGTGTACAAAGTTGATGACCCCCCTAGTTCCAAGAACAAAATGGATGACCCCCTTAATAATCATCATTTCTTTCTCTCTCTCACTTCTCCCCCCTCCTCCCCTCCCCGCCATAAATTATGAACGGTCCCTTAGCACATAAAACAGTATCTAGAAATTAAAGGAACTGAAATTAGTTAATATTGAAATGATAAAATCATATAAAGTATGAACTGTGCTGTCACTCTATAGGTCAGAAAACCATATGTTTTTCAATTACATTCTGCAGTGACACTATATTTATATTTTATATTAAAGGTCACATGCAATGCAAAACAAAACTTTGCAGATTCTGATACCTTCAGGGGTGGAAATAACTTTAAAATTGCTAGTGTACTCCGGTACAGTGGCACATGTAAAATCACTTGCCCTGATAATTTTTCCACTATACCGGCCGTTCTCTTGTTGATTTTTTAGATAAACAACATAATTAACATTGGAATATCAACTGGACACCGGTACAGTGTGATATACAAATTTGCTTGCCCGACAGAAAAAAACACTGGACTCGGGCGTCGGGCAATGGGTTATTTCCACCCCTGACCTTTTGGTATGGACTTACTGTAACAAATTATCAAAAATGCAAATTCTTCTTATAAAGTTGAAAAATAACGCGATGAAACACACACCCACACACACACACCGCGAAATCAGAGTTCAAACGATTCACTAATTTCACCCCAGCACTGGGGTGAAAAGTGGTTTCAACAGCTGGGCTGCGCTGCAACCATAGCGCATGCACAGTGATTAGGTTCGCGCGGCTTGAACTGGGAAGGCGACTCGTAAAAACACAGCAAGTGATGCGTGCAAGGATTATCGCTGTGGTCGAAGTTGGAGAACAAAAGATGTTTCTTGTGATTACAAGCATCTTTGGTCTGCAGTAATAGAAATACACTGGTCCCATACTTTTTCTTATATGTTTTCACATCTTGCTTTTTGGGGGTTGGCAGATTTGCAAACCAAGTTTTCAAGAAAGTGTAGCATTAGAAATACTAATTCTTTGTTAAAAATTGCTCAGCTTGAAAACGGAAATGTTTTAATACATGTCTATGGAAACATAGAAAAATATGTTGATTGTGATAAGCAGTCTCTGTCCCAGACAAACTCAGTGTCTGTTTTATTGACACCTATGTGTTTGCCTGCCTGTCTGCTAATGAAAATATGCAATACACAACTTTAATCATTGACAACATGCAATTTGAACTTGAAACGTATCAGGCTATACACCATAGACAAAATACATTGATTTATGGCTCGTGCACCTGAGTTCTGTCTCTGTCACATTATGTAATTACACAGACAGACAGGCAGGTGTGATACTTGTACACATGACATGTTATTATGTCTGTGGGTTGCAAACAAACTGCATCCATTTTTCGTGGATGACTGGATCGGACGGAAACCAGTGCAAACTCAGTTTCAAGTCCTGCTTTGTACTTGGACGAACGACAGTTTCCAGCCACGCAGTAGTTCACCATCTCAGTATTTGTTGATTGGATCGAATGCAAATGCAGAAAAAATGAGCATGTATTTACAAAACCCAACATCTCTTTTATATATACACACACACAATGAGCCATCAGCGTATCGGCAAATGAACCAGCCAATGAAAAGTCTTCGTTACACTTGAGTGGACGCCCACCCGCTCTGACTGGGCTCAGTAACCCGGCTGCTTCGTTTCGAAGGGAAGTAAACCCAAGTAAAAAATATTGCACTTTGGATTTGCGATTGTACGCTTATAATTTTGTTTATATGTTGTTGTTTTAAACCTTCAAAAACTGTTATACGTACATGTGTGCATAGTCTGGCCTTAGAGCAGCATTACAAACAAACAAAAATTGACTACCTCAACCAGTTCCTTTTCCAAGTACAGGAGGCTAACAGACCAACCCTAGTACCGCACAAAATGTTACTTGTTATATCATTCAGCATAAGTCATGTTAAAAAAGACAGCACTAAATATTGAAAAATAAGGTCAATGTTACTAGTATTTACTGGATGGATATACATATAAAAACACAAGATTTTACACACAATCTTCCAATCACAGATGACAGATTTTTCAATCTGCACTGAAGGCTATGAAAACATCTTGTTAAAATACCTATTCTAACTGGTGTCCTAAAAGCCTGTAGCCCTTGCAGCATAAACAAAATAAGAGGCTACCAGGGTTTTCTCCCTTTTACTTTTCCTCTGACACCTCGAGAGGAATTACCTCCCCTTGACCAGGTTTAGAAACAAAAGATGTTTGCCCCATAAATTTGTGTTTGTTGAATTTTGTACAGAGCACAGCTATTTTTTTAATCAATATACATGCTGCTCATGTAAATATTAAAGTAATTGTGATGCTTCAATAACAAAGTACAGCAGCTACCATCCATTTTGGTGGAGGGAATCTATCAGTTGACCCTTACAATAATAGCTTAATTGCTTCCTAAGATGAAACAAGCAAGCTTTAAAATTTCATAAACAGACAATATTAAAATGACTCTGGGAGTAATTCAGTCACAATTTGTTTTGTTTTTGTTATACACAAATCTACACCAACTGTCATGTTACTGTTAGTCATGTTTCGCGGTGATTTGCAGCACCAAGGTTTCTCCTTGAAATGTGGCTTTAGCATAAAATTGGTATTTTTCAAAAGTGGCTTTCCCGAGCGGACACCAGCAGTGTGTGGTTTTGTTCAGTCATGAGGTCTCCTTGTGGAATGAGGATTTGTTCCTTTATTGGCTCTCCTGTGGAACATGCATTTGTTCCCCGACTGGCAATGTGTTGTTTTGTTCCCCCACTGGCAATGTGTTGTTTTGTTCCCCCACTGGCAATGTGTTGTTTTGTTCCCCCACTGGCAATGTGTTGTTTTGTTCCCCCACTGGCAATGTGTTGTTTTGTTCATTCACTGGCACTCCTGGGAGAGAGTGATTTTGTTCATTCACTGGCACTCCTGGCGGAGAGTGTTTTTGTTCATTCACTGGCTCTCCTGGTGGAGAGTGGTTTTGTTCATTCACTGGCTCTCCTGGCGGAGAGTGGTTTTGTTCATTCACTGGCTCTCCTGGTGGAAAGTGGTTTTTTTCATTCACTGGCTCTCCTGGTGGAGAGTGATTTTGTTCATTCACTGGCTCTCCTGGTGGAGAGTGGTTTTGTTCATTCACTGGCTCTCCTGGTGGAGAGTGGTTTTGTTCATTCACTGGCACTCCTGGCAGAGAGTGGTTTTGTTCATTCACTGGCTCTCCTGGCGGAGAGTGGTTTTGTTCATTCACTGGCTCTCCTGGCTCTCCTGGGAGAGTGTTTTGTTCATTCACTGGCCATCCTGGCGGAGAGTGTTTTGTTCATTCACTGGCTCTCCTGGCGGAGAGTGTTTTTGTTCATTCACTGGCGCTCCTGGCGGAGAGTGGTTTTGTTCATTCACTGGCTCTCCTGGCAGAGAGTGGTTTTGTTCATTCACTGGCTCTCCTGGTGGAGAGTGGTTTTGTTCATTCACTGGCTCTCCTGGCGGAGAGTGGTTTTGTTCATTCACTGGCTCTCCTGGTGGAGAGTGGTTTTGTTCATTCACTGGCTCTCCTGGCGGAGAGTGGTTTTGTTCATTCACTGGCTCTCCTGGCGGAGAGTGGTTTTGTTCATTCACTGGCACTCCTGGCGGAGAGTGGTTTTGTTCATTCACTGGTACTCCTGGCAGAGAGTGGTTTTGTTCATTCACTGGCTCTCCTGGCAGAGAGTGGTTTTGTTCATTCACTGGCTCTCCTGGCGGAGAGTGGTTTTGTTCATTCACTGGCACTCCTAGCGGAGAGAGTTTTTGTTGACTTTGTTTGTTCATATGGGCTCCTTGCACTTTTCCTAGTAAGCACTATACAATTTTAACTTCCTCTGTATTTCTCTAAACCCCACCAGCGGTGGTACATGAGACAAATAACTGCAAATGAATACAATAAATACCAACATAGCAAGGTTGTACAAAGTGACATCAGCATCATTTATAATACATATATACAAAGATATATTATAACTAATTGAAAAAGCGTAAATGTAACAAATTAGATTTTCATTTGGGGCTTTTTGGAAACAATTTGAATATATTTTGCTAAGTTTGGGTTTTGGATTTGAGAAGGTTCGCCATTTTTGAGAGATTCGGTTATTGATTTGGGATAAAAATGGTTCTCTTGGAAATGAAGGCTTCACATTTAAAAAGATAATGGAACTCATCTGCAACTGTTGGTGAGCTGCTGAGAGGGCATTACTAAGACATTTCACAAAAATGACATTGATAATAGACATGAAAATTACAACTGTGCTGTAGGTCATATGGCCTGAAATATTGAATAAAACGTCTGATATGAAAAACTTTCTGTTCCTGCAAACCTATCATTTTCACAAACATGTAATGTGTTTAATTTTATTTGTTCGTATATTTAAACCATTAAAAATGTCTAGAAGCAAATACTAACAACTGTGTGATGGAAGATGATTGTTGAAATTAATGGTCTACAGTGATTTATCAACCTTCTTGAAAATCGTCAAAATCAAGAATGACACCCCATGCATGTGTATGAGGCTACTGCGGTGTGCACATGCATCCCATGCGTTTTGTTCAGGGGTGGTGATAAAGAGAAATGGTAGTGCGTTTGTCTTTGAAAAGTTTAACGCTTATACTTCCTATCCAAATTGAAAGTTCAGGTTCTCCTAATTTTTTGAAGAGTAAAATATACTTAAAAAACTGTACAACTGATGCCACTAAGCATGTCCCAGCAGCTAGCACATGTATAATGTTCCCATTTTCAGATTATGGATTTATACGTTAATAGGATAAGTGAACGTGGTGAATGCCAGTTGTACTGGCTGTAACTGTGGTGACTATTTATTCGTGTTGTGATGTGCTGGCACAGCTGTTGCCTGCCTCTACACACAGCTCAGGCAGGATAGACACATGTATATGTATGTCACTACAGTATGATTCAGCCAGCTCAGGATAATTACCACAGTGTTTGAGATAATGATACAGGTTTAGTGGCTGTCATAGCCAGGGTTGGATCCTAAGAGTGATTCAGTGGCATCATTTATGTCCGTGGTAGTTCTGATAGAGCAGACAGCAGTCTTACACAAGTCTTCAGCAGGAAGAACTACTGCACATGCTGTCAACTTCTCACCATGAGTGGATATGACGATCAAGACTTTCAATATGCTCAGCTCTCCACCACAGATCCAGATGAGTTCTTTGGTGACCAAAACAAGCATGTGCCTCTACCTTGGGAGGATTTCATGTGAGTACATTGGGTCAGACCAGTCTCCAGGTGTGGCTTAATACAGCAAGTTGTTGCTGGAATTTTTTCGTTCATGACAAGTTGGCATACTTGAGACTTGAAATTGACTTTTTGTATGGACCAGTCATGCTAATAATCATCATAATTGCATGATGTTTTGGCAGGTTCATGTGGGTGGAGTATGGCATGAAGATGTTGAGGAAGGAATCTATTTATTGGGCCCTAAATGGCACAAAGTTTGCTCAAGGTTGTCCCAATGTGAGATAACATGTGCCAGCTGTTGCACCTGCTTATCTTCCATCATAAATAGTGACATTTGTGTAACAGGTCACAGGCTATATTACTATATTAGTGGTAATCATAGTACTAAATACTCCTCAGTAGGATAGTGTTTATTCAGCTTTTGAACCAGTTAAACATATCAAAACTAAATAGTTTGTTCATCTGAAAATGACTGAGAATGAATTATTGCAGTAAATGCATCTATTTGACATGAGCTTCATAAAGTGAAGGGGTACTGAATGACAGTGTGTTATCACTGGGAATTCCCTGGGAATACTGTACATAGTTGTTTGAAGTAGGATCTAAGTAAACACTGTCTTTGGACTTTTGTACTGCTGTTGAAATATGCCTCATGTTCCTCATGCATGATATTTATGACTTCCAAATAGTCATGTCAGCAGCTAGTCCATGTTGGAGAAAGATCATGTGGAACATGATGGGAGCTAAGGTGAGATTTTAATAACATTGGCTTGTTTGTTTCCATACATTCAGAAACAGTTCATGCCAAGCCCTCCGGCAGTTAGTTAGCTGTAAGTGTTTCACGAATGGATGGCCTTGTGTATTGCACTGAACAATATGTCTCTGATTTACCATCCTTGATAATCTCCAGGGTGTACGTTCGATAAATCTCCACTATACCCTGGATGCATCTACGACTCGAACCGATGATTATATTACCTCCCTTGGCTGGCTTTTTATCCAATCAGGTGTCTACACTGGGAAGTTGAGTGTACCAATCACAACTCACTTTGGCTTTTTAAATTATCTAACCGATTAAACTTGGCATCACAATAATATATTGTTGCAGAGGTATTCTGAAAGAGGTAGAAGGAGTTCTTGCATATATGTTTTTAAAATTTCGGACCTGTCAATTTGTCTGTATGGTTTCCCCCCAAATCTGAGTCACACTGCGAACAAACTTTCGCTGGCTACAACCGCTATCTTTGTTGGCACTGGAAAACTCGCTTGTAACGACGGCTTATCTGATTGGCTACTGTGAGAATGCAGAGCCAGCAAAGGGAGGTAATAAAATCAAAGGCTCCAGGCCTAGATGCATCCAGGGTATAGTGGAGATATATCGGAACGTATACCCTGGAGATTATCGAGGATGCTGATTTACTTGTCTGGGTTTTAATGATTACAGCAACCTGTGAATTCATTATTGTTGATCTAAATATTGATTAGAATTGTCTCCCATATGTGTTTCTTGTCAACGAGTTTTTGAGTCACAAACATAAGAAAACGGAATGGACACAAGGGATATGCATGGTGATTTTTATGTTTATACCTCCATAAATGATGTAGAGAACAGTCATGTTTAGTCATGTGGCATGGTCTGATGGGCATGATGGAAATAACAGTGTAGTGTTTATTCATCTTAGTCTGCGTTTTTTATTTAGCCTTGTGGGTGATAGGGATATGGCAATATTTGTTGACCACATGTTTGAATCCAAGAGTTTCATATGATCCTTGTTTTGTCAGTAACCGAAGCTTGTGTGTCACACAATATTCCATGGAGTCAAAAGCATAATTATGAGTGACAGTGGTTGGTTATCAAGACTATTTCCTGTAAATGTAATGACACAAAACATAGCAATTTCCTTCAGGTCTTCTGAAGAATTCAGTCTAAGTTAACTTAGGCTCAGTATTATTCGTTACACTGCTATACTGAGTCTAATAAAACCTAATAGAAGTTTACTTAGTTTTACTAAGTTTACTTAGACTGCTGAAGAATTCAAACACAAATGTGCCTTTTCCTCAGTTTGCAATTTTGAAACATTTGCACTGTACTGTGAGGTTTCATGGTCTATACAGGGACTAGTGACATCTGTTGTGCCAGTGTTCCCAGTGAGTACGTCATGTCAGATTACATGGTCTATACAGGGACTAGTGACATCTGTTCTGCCAGTATTCCCAGTGTGTACATCATGTAAGATTACATGGTCTATACAGGGACTAGTAACATCTGTTCTGCCAGTATTCCCAGTGAGTACGTCATGTCAGGTTACATGGTCTATACAGGGACTAGTGACATCTGTTCTGCCAGTATTCTCTCCATGTGAAGGTAAGCTTGTTTCTGTATGTCTTTATTGAGGTGCTCTGCTTTCCACAGGGGTATGACAGTGACATCAGGCAGTGTGGTGCTGCAGAAAGATACTCAGAACTTGATTGGGATCAGCATTGGTGGTGGCGCCCCACTGTGTCCATGTCTGTATGTGGTGCAGGTGTTTGACAACACGCCGGCTTCCAAGGAGGGCTCCCTGGCTGCTGGAGATGAGATCGTGGGTGTAAACGGACAGTCGGTCAAAGGACGTACCAAGGTGGAAGTGGCCCGAGCTATCCAGTCTATAAAGGTATTCCCAGCTATAGTTTGTACCTTCTTCTTTGTGTATTTGTGGACATTTATACATTTAAGTTGCTCAGTGGTTTCATGATAAAATTAGTTTTATGTATGATTAATTGCTTCTTTTACTTTCCCAACATGGAATCAATCAGGAAACCAGTTACTGATTAAGTTCCTATTGTTAGGTTTATATCCCTTAGTTTTAAGGGCGTAGTGCAACCACCATCATGTTGTAATAAGGAATGGGGCGCGGTGGGCGAGCTGGCTAAGACGCCAGGCTAGTGATCCAGCGAGGTTGAGGTGCCGGGATCGAGCCCACCTGTGACCGGGTGTAAAAACCTTGGAGTCAACTTTCTGTGCAGACTCTTTCAGTGTTGTCACAACCCCTAGTGTACAGTACACATCCCTGTGCACTTAAAAGAACCCACGAATCCGTTGGTATATGACCAGATGGTGGCCACATGAATACGTGCAAACACCTAGTTGCGGGTACAGCAACGTGCAGTGAACTTGGACAAAGTACTGTGACTATGTGTCCCAGTCCACCCAGCTGTGAATGGGTACCTCGTTAGGATGAGAAGGCCACAATAACTCGGTGCGTCTAGTGGCTGCAAGAGTTGTATACTCCCCAGGGAGTTGAGATTGATAATACGATGTGCCGTTGAGATTGACATCCAATGATCGAGGGGAAAATACCAGCGCCTTGAGCATGCACTAGTTGCCTGGATATGTGCGCTATATAAATATCCTATAAAAAAAAAAAATAAATTGTTTGTCCATAAGAAACTTGTCTTTGCTGAGTGTTTTTACTCCAAAGTTTGATGATCAATCACAATATCATAAAATTGATTATAAAATGCTAGCCTTTCTACTTTCATGGTATATATTCCTTGAAATTTTATTTAACTAGGATCTTATTGCCCGGTTCAATACCAGATGACTCGCTGCATGCAGAGGCCAGCTCCACCATTGGTCGATTATTTCATGCCTATCAACATCAAAGTTCTTGAATTCTTGATAAGAATGTGTGAACTTGCATGTCTGCTTTCTATATCTGTGAAACGAAATGATTGTTCTGAGTAGCAGTGTGGACATTGTCTGACATGTGATAACATTATGTGTCCATGTGAAATACACATTGCCTGTATGACATATTATGTGTCCATATCATGTGTCTATATCATGTACACTGTGTCTATATGACATTTACTGTGTCTATATGACATTTACTGTATCTTTGTACTTAGTCTGTCATACAGACCCTGAAACAATCATATCCAAGAGAGCCCATGCAAGTCTTGAATATGTGGCAAGTCTAGATTTCCACAGTTTCCAAAAGTCTCAAGGCTCCTCTTCAATATGTTATATTTTGTTTATTATGAACTGTTTTATCTGTAAAATATGTTCCTTTCAGAAATGAGTTGTTAGTCTACCATACACTGTGATGTGTCTAGTGTTGTAAGTGTATTGTGAATGGTGTGTATCAAGCATTGGTTGCTTGTGTGTGCCATGAACTGTGTAATTATGATATATCCATGGTTATGTTGCAGGCGGAGGTGACCATCAACTATAACAAGCTTCATGCAGATCCTAAACAAGGAAAGACTTTAGATATAGGTATGTGTAGGATAACATCTGTAACAATATTTGTACATGTAAATTTGGAGTTGACTGGTTAAAGATCTTTTAGAGTGAAAACTTGAATTTCTAATTACTTTAATATGTATAAATGTATATTAGGCAAATATGTAGACACTAATCACGTTCGACATGTGCTGTTTGCAATTGTGTAAATTTTAGGGATACAGAGTAACAGCCTAACAGAGTAACAGGGTTTTTTTCCGACATTACTTATGTATCATTCTGAACCAAACTCTGTCTACACCAAGATACCTAAGCATACATGTGTACAGATGTGTAACTTAGGTACATTTCTGTAACACACGAGACAGCAGCATGTTTCCTGTTTCTGTCTAATTACTGTGAATGGTGACAACACAAAAGCATCTGTCTGGACTAGTAGGTGACCAAGCAGCTTACACATAACCTTTGTCTGTCGATGTTTACTTTCTGATGACTAGATCTTTACACTAGGTACCAGGTCACAAGTGGACTTGATCTTGATCATGTTGTTTAATGAAACCTTCATTTTCCAGTACTGAAGAAAGTGAAGCACCGTGTGGTGGAGACAATGAACTCCAACACTGCAGATGCTCTTGGCCTCAGCAGAGCTATCCTGTGTAACGGTAGGTGGGACCTGGTATCACTGACATTACTGGATGGCGTGTGTCTGTGTCAGACATGTCTCTGTGGTTGGAGCTTGTGGAGATGGTATAGGTACATGTCTATCCAGATGGTATAGGTACATGTCTATCCAGATGGTATCGGTACATGTCTATCCAGATGGTATAGGTACATGTCTACCCAGATGGTATAGGTACATGTCTACCCAGATGGTATAGGTAGATGCCTGCCCAGATGGTATAAGTAAATGTCTACCCAGATGGTATAGGTACATGTCTACCCAGATGGTATAGGTACATGTCTACCCAGATGGTATAGGTACATGTCTACCCAGATGGTATAGGTAGATGCCTGCCCAGATGGTATAGGTAGATGCCTACCCAGATGGTATAGGTACATGTCTACCCAGATGGTATAGGTACATGTCTACCCAGATGGTATAGGTACATGTCTACCCAGATGGTATAGGTACATGTCTACCCAGATGGTATAGGTACATGTCTATCCAGATGGTTTAGGTACATGTCTATCCAGATGGTATAGGTAGATGCCTGCCCAGATGGTATAAGTAGATGTCTACCCAGATGGTATAGGTACATGTCTACCCAGATGGTATAGGTAGATGCCTGCCCAGATGGTATAAGTAGATGTCTACCCAGATGGTATAGGTAGATGTCTACCCAGATGGTATAGGTAGATGCCTGCCCAGATGGTATAGGTAGATGTCTACCCAGATGGTATAGGTAGATGTCTACCCAGATGGTATAGGTAGATGCCTGCCCAGATGGTATAAGTAGATGTCTACCCAGATGGTATAGGTAGATGTCTACCCAGATGGTATAGGTAGATGCCTGCCCAGATGGTATAGGTAGATGTCTACCCAGATGGTATAGGTAGATGTCTACCCAGATGGTATAGGTAGATGTCTACCCAGATGGTATAGGTAGATGCCTGCCCAGATGGTATAAGTAGATGTCTACCCAGATGGTATAGGTACATGTCTACCCAGATGGTATAGGTACATGTCTACCCAGATGGTATAGGTACATGTCTATCCAGATGGTATAGGTACATGTCTATCCAGATGGTATAGGTAGATGCCTGCCCAGATGGTATAAGTAGATGTCTACCCAGATGGTATAGGTACATGTCTACCCAGATGGTATAGGTAGATGTCTACCCAGATGGTATAGGTAGATGTCTACCCAGATGGTATAGGTAGATGTCTACCCAGATGGTATAGGTAGATGCCTGCCCAGATGGTATAGGTAGATGTCTACCCAGATGGTATAGGTAGATGTCTACCCAGATGGTATAGGTAGATGTCTACCCAGATGGTATAGGTAGATGCCTGCCCAGATGGTATAAGTAGATGTCTACCCAGATGGTATAGGTACATGTCTACCCAGATGGTATAGGTACATGTCTACCCAGATGGTATAGGTACATGCCTACTCAGATGGTATAGGTACATTTCTATCCAGATGGTATAGGTACATGTCTATCCAGATGGTATAGGTAGATGCCTGCCCAGATGGTATAAGTAGATGTCTACCCAGATGGTATAGGTACATGTCTACCCAGATGGTATAGGTACATGTCTACCCAGATGGTATAGGTACATGTCTACCCAGATGGTATAGGTACATGTCTACCCAGATGGTATAGGTACATGTCTACCCAGATGGTATAGGTACGTGTCTACCCAGATGGTATAAGTAGATGTCTACCCAGATGGTATAGGTACATGTCTACCCAGATGGTATAGGTACATGTCTACCCAGATGGTATAGGTACATGTCTACCCAGATGGTATAGGTACATGTCTACCCAGATGGTATAGGTACATGTCTACCCAGATGGTATAGGTACATGTCTACCCAGATGGTATAAGTAGATGTCTACCCAGATGGTATAAGTAGATGTCTACCCAGATGGTATAAGTAGATGTCTACCCAGATGGTATAGGTACATGTCTACCCAGATGGTATAGGTACACATCTACCCAGATGGTATAAGTAGATGTCTACCCAAATGGTATAGGTACACATCTACCCAGATGGTATAAGTAGATGTCTACCCAGATGGTATAGGTACATGTCTACCCAGATGGTATAGGTACATGTCTACCCAGATGGTATAGGTACATGTCTACCCAGGATCCCACATGGCTCCACCCTCATCATGTAGTTTGTATACTGGACTACTTTAGAAAAGAATAAAACCCTATTATAATTGATCATAAATATGCAAAACAAATTTTGAACCCAAACTATGAAGTAATCTGACTGACAGATAAACATGAGGCACACCGTGAATGTGGCCAGAAGGTTTAGTTGTCACAATTAAAAAATCGTCAGGTTATTACGACACCTATGACAAACCAGCACAACATGTGATTGACCACACTCAGGGCAACTATGTGTCACGACCCACCCCAAGATTGTCACACATCCTCACTCATGTAATGAACAGGTTTAAGTTAGTGTCCAGAACAGACACTACTTTTCATGGAAGAAGGGGTATCATCAATCCCCAGACAGTACAGCGACGTCAGCTAGGACTGTGTGCATGTACGTGTTCTATTTACTGACGAATCCAGATTTCATCTCCATCATATGGATGGAAGGAGGGCTTGTCTATCGGGTTGAGGGTGGCCTACAACAACTACCCTGCCAGCCTTGTAGACCCCACCATCAACGCCACCCTCAACCCGATAGACAAGCCCCCACGCCAACACACAGCTCTGTTCATCATAAGCCTGCCCTATATAGGTTCAGCCAGCCACCAGATCAGCCGACTCTTAAAACACCAAGTCAACATTGATGTTGTGTTCCAGAGAGGTACTACTATACAGAACATCCTAAAAGCAAATGGCAGACCAACCCCCACAACTAAAGAAGACTCTACAGGGACAGTTTAGCACATAAAATGTGACTGTGGAGACTCGTACATCGGTGAAACCTCAAGACCCCTCCCTGTAAGAATCAAAGAACATCAATCCTCTGTGAAGAAGAAAGACTCCAAATCCGCCATCTCTGACCACACCCAAGCTCACCCGACCACAACATCTTATGGAACAGCATCAATGTAAGAAGCTCAAGAGACTCCAACCACCAGTAATCACACCCACTACAAGCTACTAGAAGCCATTCACATCAAGAGACTCCAACCAGCCATGAACAGAGACCAAGGATATTACATCCCCACTGCCTACAACCAACTCATCACCAAGCAATCTTAATCCCATTATTCTCCAGTCTGTCATATCACTGGCTTCCTCCCAATAATCCCCCATAGCTTACTCTGTTTGTGTAACAATTGCCTTCTTGTGTAGACATCCTCCAACCTTGTACATCAACCTCATTAATTGTGCAAACATCAAGCACTTACTGTTCAACTTTACTGTGTATATATATACCTTGCCTCTAGTATTTCAAAATCCCACATAATGCCCCAGCATTTACATTTTTGGGGTACGGTGGTTTACTCCTTTATTTTTGATACGGGTGTTAGTAGCTACACTGAAACGTCGCTCATATTATATTAAAGAAGTTGTATATCCATAGAACTCTCCTCGTTCATCACACCAACTTGTAAATGCCACTCCAACAAGTAACACTGATTGTTGAGTTCAGCACCTGAACCACTGGGTTGGTGGAAGGTTTATGGTAGTCATGGCAGGACACATCTACATATATTTCATGGTTGAGTGACAGCTTAAACATAGACAGCAGAGATACAGAGAATAGTCGTTTGCTACATGGGTAGATCAATGTGTTCACATTTTCCATTGGGATAAGACACAGTAACACTACCCCATAATGCTAGACACAGCATGAACTTTCTTCAGCAAAACGCCATTTCTGTCCTGCCATTGCTGTGTTTGACACAAATGATGACCATACCCTTTGCTGACATTGACTGTGTGAAAGTTTTAAGTTTGATACCCGTCAGTGTTAGTGTTGTTGCACTGAATGATGAATGACTGCTTTTGCTTTTTCTTGTGTTTCTGACAAATCTTTCTTCATTTATCACGAAGTTTAAACATTTTATCCCAGTGATGCGTTTCTAAAGTAGTTCAGTATATATTTGTGTTTAATATTGAGTGTATTCCACCTTGACAGTGTTCTTTTCTGGCCCTGAATCAACTTTGTATTGATTGATGAACTTGTTGAATGCAGGTGTGTGTACAAGTCTGGGATGCAGGTGTGTGTACAAGACTGGGATGCAGGTGTGTGTACAAGACTGAGATGCAGGTGTGTGTACAAGACTGAAATGCAGGTGTGTGTACAAGACTGAGATGGCAGGTGTGTGTACAAGACTGGGATGCAGGTGTGTGTACAAGACTGAGATGCAGGTGTGTGTACAAGACTGAGATGCAGGAGTGTGTACAAGACTGAGATGGCAGGTGTGTGTACAAGACTGAGATGCAGGTGTGTGTACAAGACTGAGATGCAGGTGTGTGTACAAGACTGAAATGCAGGTCTGTGTGTTACAGATGGGCTGGTCAAGAAGCTGGAAGAGCTAGAGAACACAGGTGGCATGTACCAGGGTCTCATTGACCAAACCAAGAGGCTGTTGAAGGCCACCTTTGACCTGTCAAAGTCCCATAAAGGTATTTGTTGTTGAAAGGAAACACAATTAACATCATCTGTAACATTGTTTTTAGCAATATTTGGTCAAACCATCTTGATTGGGTTGAGAATACACGATGCTATTTAAAAAGTGATCACATGTAACATATACGATATACTGAAGTACTGAACTATGTGTGTGCTTATGTTCACAGCCTTTGGGGAGGTGTTTAATTGTATTGGGATGAGAGAGCCACAGCCTGCTGCTGGGGAGGCCTTCACTAAATTTGGAGAAGCTCACAAGAACATGGAAAAGTTTGCCATAAAAATGCTGAAGACTGTCAAGCCAGTAAGTAGCAGTGGGACAGTGAGGCATCTTAGTGGTCTTGGCTCACCCACTGCATTCTAAATTGTCAGTGTGTTTCAGTGTAGCAAAAACAGTTCACAAGGACAGTAGTTTGAGCTGCTTGTACAGCAGTTTCATTATGCCTCTGTGCTTCATTCTGTACTGAATGTACTGATGGTAACTTATGTACATGCAGTACATGGCCATGGTGGCCAAATAGGATTACATGCAGTACATGGCCATGGTGGCCCAATATGGCCGTGGTGGATAGGACTACATACATGCAGTACATGGCCATGGTGGCCCAATAGCCCAATAGGATTACATGCAGTACATGGCCATGGTGGCCCAATAGGATTATTGCAGTACATGGCCATGGTGGCCCAATAGGGTCGTGGTGGCCCAATAGGATTATTATGCAGCACATGGCATGGTGGCAATAGGATTACATGCATGGGCCCAATTACACACATACATGGCCATGGTGGCCCATGGTGGCCCAATAGGATTACATGCATGCAGTACATGGCCATGGTGGCCCAATAGGATTACATGCAGTACATGGCCATGGTGGCCCAATGGGATTACATGCAGTACATTACTGGCCCAATAGGATTACCCAGGCATTACATGGCCATGGTGGCCCAATAGGGATTACATGCAGTACATGGCCATGGTGGCCCAATAGGATTACATTGCAGTACATGGCCATGGTGGCCCAAGGCCCAGGATTACATGCAGTGGCATGGTGGCCCAATAGGATTACTTTGCAGTACATGGCCATGGTGGCCCAATAGGATTACATGCAGTACATGGCCATGGTGGCCCAATAGGATTACATGCAGTACATGGCCGTGGTGGCCCAATAGGATTACATGGGATGGTGGCCCAATAGGATTACATGCAGTACATGGCCATGGTGGCCCAATAGGATTACATGCAGTACATGGCCATGGTGGCCCAATAGGATTACATGCAGTACATGGCCATGGTGGCCCAATAGGATTACATGCAGTACATGGCCATGGTGGCCCAATGGCCCAATAGGATTACATGCAGTACATACACATGATTACATGCCATGGTGGCCCAATAGGATTACATGCAGTACATGGCCATGGTGGCCCAATAGGATTACATGCAGTACATGGCCATGGTGGCCCAATAGGATTACATGCAGTACATGGCCATGGTGGCCCAATAGGATTACATGCAGTACATGGCCATGGTGGCCCAATAGGATTACATGCATTACATACATGGCCATGGTGGCCCAATAGGATTACATGCAGTACATGGCCATGGTGGCCCAATAGGATTACATGCAGTACATGGCCATGGTGGCCCAATAGGATTACATGCAGTACATGGCCATGGTGGCCCAATAGGATTACATGCAGTACATGGCCATGGTGGCCCAATAGGATTACATGCAGTACATGGCCATGGTGGCCCAATAGGATTACATGCAGTACATGGCCATGGTGGCCCAATAGAATTACTAACTGAACAAACTAGTGGCAAGAAGGACCTGCAACAGTCATCTATGTGAATTCATTTTGTGAGTTCACTGATTCTCACCTGCAAAGTAGTTAATGCATGAAGAACTCTGTGCTTACTTTCAGATGATTAGTGATCTCAACACTTTCTTAAACAAGGCTGTGCCAGACACAAGGCTGACCATCAAGAAATACCTGGATGCAAAGTTTGAATACTTGGTAAGTTATCTACACAAGCAGCCTCACATGAAAGGCCAAGCCTTTATCGACAAGGCTTCCTTCCCAGGATTAGATGAATGACATCTACTGCCATTGTAATAACACAAAGTAAATCTATATCTTGTGACTAAGGAGGAAATTGCAAAGATAAATAGTACGACTTTGCTATAGAAATGTGATGAAGTACTTCCTTTATTCCTTTTAATTTTTTCAACATGTTTGTTCCATTTGACAATCGAGTTGTACTGCAGTTCGTCAGTCCCCTCTGTTGCCTATGGGCATTCCTCCATCTCCCGAGATCCCTCCATGTCCTTTATCTACAAATACTACGATTTGTTTTGTCTTCCGTTAATGCAGCATCTCTTTGACAGTGGCAGGAGCTACTGGGTCTGGGGCTAATGATGTCAGCTCAGGCTCTTGCACTCAGTTGCTCATGTGTCCTCATGTGCCGTACCTTCAGATCACAGATCAGTGGCGCTATATTCGTCTACCTTTGTCCTTCCATTCGCAAGTTCAGTCTCCTTGACTCCATTCATAGCAACACACCATCCCTTCGTTGATGCATCCCTAAAGGGTTGGGGAGCTCATCTTCCCGATCAACTGGTGACAGCGTTATAGTCAACAACTATGAAATGAGGTAATTTTTGCAACGTTATTTGTTCAACCAACCTCATGATTCAACTGGACAACACAACTGTTGACCAACCTCATGATACAACTTGACAACACAACTATTGACCAGCCTCATGATACAACTGGACAACACAACTGTTGACCAACCTCATGATACAACTGGACAACAACTATTGACCAACCTCATGATACAACTGGACAACTCAACTGTTGACCAGCCTCATGATACAACTCGACAACACAACTGTTGACCAGCCTCATGATACAACTGGACAACACAACTGTTGACCAGCCTCATGATACAACTGGACAACACAACTGTTGACCAACCTCATGATACAACTCGACAACACAACTGTAGTATGGTTCATCAACCTGATGGGATCAAAACCCAGCTGCTGAGGTTCATGTGAGCTGGTTCATAGACCTCACACACTTGGCAAACCTCCAGACCAGAACCCTCTAGCTTTACATCTAAGGGAATACTGATCCACCTGCCTGGAACAGCCAGATAGATTGTTTACTTTTCCATCACTGTCCTACTTCCTCAATCAATCAATCATTTATTCAATAGAAAGGCCATTGGCCCACGTATAATACATTTCAAACAAATTTTGTCGTGACATTTTGATACACTTTATATGAATTTACATATCGAGCTGTAATTTTCTCTGTAGAAGAGCTTCCTTGATTAACATAGCACAATTGTGAAGCATAAATGATGAACAGACACCCAACAAATTTATATATTTCTGAACAGTGACATTTGTGCAATAATAACCGGGAGATATTTTAATCTTATGCTTTTGTATAAGGGGCATATAAGGAGGAAATGATATTCATCTTCAATTTCCTGTAATTCACACAGTTGACAGATCCTTTCTTCAGGCAGCAACCCTTCCCATCTTCCCGTGTAGAATCTTAGCTGTAATTCGGATGAACGTAATAGAAACAATAATCTTCTTAATTCTTTATTCTTGACAGTTGATAGATAAGCCTCTGTATTTAGAACGAATTTAAAGTCTTTGTAATCCAAAACCGTACTGCAAAAGAAGTTCTCTTATATGACTGGCCCATGTTCTTCTGTTGCTTGAATCCAGTTTAAACATCATGGTATAAACCTGTTTCAGGTGTCTGTTTGACAGTAGCCGTGGTATCTTGCACCAGTATTTAATACATCTTGTGTGGTAGTCGACGTACAATGCATAGCATCCACAGTCGCTGACAGCCGCAACGTTAGAGACGTGATTCCAGGATGAAAGAATGAAGTTACAGAAGCTTGAATGAAATTGTTCCACGATATATCTTCTTTTGTACCCCCAGATTTCTGATCCATACAAAATGATTGGCTTGATCTGAACGTCGAATATCTTAAACAGGATATTTGGTGATATGTTCTTCAATTGTCCCTGGAGTGCTTTGACGCTGAACAATGCTTTGCTGGCCTTGGATGCTAGTACATCAATAGCCTTGCTCCATGATAATTTTGATGAAAACATCAGACCTAGATAATTATTTCTGGAAACTATCATCTCTGTTTTTTCTAAGTTGACTTCTAGTCCCCACTTGAAAGAAAAATTCCTTCCTCGGGCCTGATGACATTGAATGTTTTTTTCACTATGCCCTATCAGAGCCTTAAAGACATATACTGCCTCCTTGCAAGAGCATCATAGGCTATACAAGTACCTTATCAACCTGCTCTTGACAGCCTACTACAGCAGAATTATTTTGCTCCATCATTGCCTTCTGGATGCATGCAGTTGTCCTCCAAGCCTACACTTTTACTGTTACTTCTACTTTTTTTATTCTTTACCATAGTCACATGGTTTGACCTCACTCAGTGGTCTACTGATGTGTTGAAGTACAACCATCTATTTGGCATCATTGTAAGGCTATGATGTCATCTTGACTCTCGAGTCGGGTACAGTGAGACCAAGGACATCCGCACATGCTTGCTAACCTTGACTCTCATGAGCAATCATGTTAGTGGAGTTTGAATTCCGAATCCTCTTGTGTCAGGTTTTGAAGTGTTCCTCTCCTTTATTCATTGACTGTTGATGACCAGGAGGGATAAGTAATGGTGTTTGATGGGATGTGTACAGAATGTTAAACAGAGAGATAACGAGCTGTTCTGCCTTCCACCTGTATGTGTGTGTCAGGGACAGTCTCAAAGAACTCACTGTCTGGGACTGAGGGCCACAAGGTGGATTCTTAGCTCCATCATTTGTGCTTTGAGAAATCATTCAGCAAGAAACCACTCAACTCTGAATCGCCCAGTCCACAAGTTGAGCCTATGATCTGAACTTAGGATCAGAAGATAAACCCAGCCTCCTTATGACCTATCCATCACATTGTTGTCGTCTTCGTACAGACCAGGGTAATATGTGGCCCACCATCAAACCATGGGATAAGTGCATAACATCAGATACAATAAGAATAAAAATGTGAAAAGTTTAACTATAAATTGTATATTTATAATATTTATCATATGTCACATAATGGATTCTCGCCAGACCAACACCACTACAAAGATTACTGGATTGGTTCTGTCTCCAAGACAAGAGAATGACATCAGTTGGGAAATGAGACGCATGCATTGCATGAGCTTCCAGTGATGGAATGTCGATGTGTTCGGACGAGGTGGTTATTTCAGGTTTTTCCACTCTGTGGTCAGAGGAACAAGAGAAATTGCATAATGTGAGATGGATAAGTGTAATAAATACACAATTTGTAGCTAGAATTTTCAATTTTGTATTTGTTTTTGTTGTAACCAAGACTATGGTGAAGTGTGTGTGTTTCAGTCGTACTGCCTGAAGGTGAAGGAGATGGATGATGAGGAGTATAGTTACGCTGCCCTGCAAGAGCCTCTCTACCGGGTCGAGACTGGCAACTACGAATACAGGTCAGTAGACACTCTCCTCCCACTCTCCTCCCATCACTTCCACATGTTATACCCATGTTCTAGCTCAAAACAACAAAAACCTACCAACTCATGGAATTGGCAACATGTCCAGTACTTTTACAACTTGTTAAAACAGGGTATTGTCTGACATGTTATGCCAACACAGTAGAACAGGTGGAAGTCCTACAGGACCTTTACCACTTTTATTGGCGAAATAGTCAACTGGACCTTCAAGATAGCCTCTGTCCATTAGTTGTAGTTCAGTCAGTCATAATTGTCTGTGACAGAAAGCAGGGGGGAAGGGGGTTTTATAGAAATAATGTCAGGGCTGCCACATAACATGTTGGGCAATTTGATACAAAGTCTGTAATTCTGTGGAAGTTTCAAAAATTTACTGTCCTTGGTATTATTGATGCGGGGGGATATAGTCGACGCCTCGTCCGTAATCATTTTGTTTCCAGAGCATAACTCCAAAACTGTTAAATATTTTTCAACAAAAATTGGTAGATATATTAAACAGAACCTAAGGTGGTGCCTTTTGCTACTTGCAGATTTTTGTCATTTTTATTTTTCTCGGTTTCCATGGAAACGTTTTGGACGTAGTCTTAAAGGGGTGGTGGGCTTTGTTTCAAGAGCATAGCTCAAAAACTGTTCAATATTTTTCAACAAAACTTGGTAGATTTATCAAACAGATCCTTAAGTGGTGCCTTTTGTCCCAAAAGGGACGGGTGGGTTTAGTTTCCGGAGCACAACTCGAAGACTTCTTAATATCTTTCAGCAAATCTTGCCAGATATGTGAGGCAGATGCCAAAGTCGTGCCTTTTGCTATTTGGCAGAATTTTGGCAAATTTACTTAGTCCCAAAAGGGAGGGGTGGGCATCATTTACGGTGCACAAATCGAAAAGCGTTCAGTATCTTTCAACAGAACTTGGCATATATATTAGGCAAATTTTGAAATGGTGCCTTTTGCTATTTACAGATTTTTGGCATTTATATTTCTCATGATTTCCATGGAAACGATTTGGACTTAGTTTTGAAAAAGTCAAGCTGGACTTTAAGTAAACTGTCAGATGATTTGTTCTTTCAAATATGTGGGTGCCGGGGGGGATATGTTATCTTCTGATGACTCTTGTTGTTGTTAAGGTAACTAGAAGCAAAGGACAGTTTCACAATTGTACTGCATTAGGCATGTGGAAAAGGTGAAGACAGGGCTGCTTCTGTTAATGAATTAAGTGCTCTTTCAAAATCCCAAAGTCATGTACGTCATACTAGTGATTATTGTTATCATTATATCTTAGGGATGTTGAAATGCTCCTGAATATGTCGTTGTGTTGTAGGCTTGTATTACGGTGTCGCCAGGAAGCTCGCACCAGGTTTGCCAAGATGCGGTCTGATGTCCTTGTCAAAATGGAGTTACTGGACCAAAAACATGGTGAGATGTACAGGACTTTTGTAGCAAATCCAGTAGAAGAAACATGTACATAACTGAACTGTTTGATAGGCATTTTAAAGGCAAGATACTTTTATGGATGACAAATTCCCCATTCTATTAAGATGCAATGTATCAAGATAGATCCTTTTATACTGAGCAAAACTGAAAAACTGACTCTCTGGACTTTTTGGACTAGGTTTTTAATATTAGGTTAAGACAATAATCTTAGTTGTATGCTGTGCACAGAACATCTTGACATCAAAGAAAAACAAAAAACAAGTCTCGCCAAAACAACGATAACATTCATGATGTCAAGGTACCCTCCAAGATGAAGTTCACATCATGGAGAACAATTCGATTGAGGCCTTCAGTAAGGGCTGTGGCCTCCTCTAGCGTCTCTTATGCCACACAACGCCTCCTCATGAATCTTAGAACATTGGTAAACACACCCCAAGGAAGACGTCGCCATTGCTCAACAATTAGGTGACATTGAAGATCTTGCAACATCTCTGGTGGATTGACTTGCTGACGAACACGTCGACCCAACTGGCCCCAGTGGTGTTTGATACAGACATGAGAACTTTTCCACGGATTTGTTTCATTTCAAACGTTTTTTAGATCGATGTAAATCTGCAATAAAAGACCCCCAAGACCCCCGGCTAAATTTTCAAGTTTTTTTTTTGCTTTGCCATTCTCGTGTCTGTCCCAGCCTCCAGCCTTCCTAATTATATTGTATATACCTGAAAGAATTTGTTTTCTGCCTTGCACATACTGAAAATAGCTGTGCATCAACCTGCTATATTTGACAAAACTGATTATAGATCGATCTCAGTGAAGAGGACTGTTGTTTTGGTGAAGTTAGGCTATCATTGAGTCGAACTCTTGGATCCCAGACCAGGGTTTTTCAATCTTTTATTCTTGGTGCCCCAGAAGGGTTCAACAGGCTTCTGGATGATCTGAGGTATGGAGTCCATTTGGAACCTCAGACTCTCAGAAATACCTCAACTTTGCTGTCAACTGGAGGCTCTTCCAGTTCAGGGTTCTGCCATTCGGATTATCAGTTGCTGTTTACATACATCACAGCTCCAGTTCTAGCGTATTTACATCTACATCATACATGTATATCATTTCACAGTTATCTGGACGAGATTTTCTCTCTCCAAATGCTGAAGTGGATGCCAGTTTTGAGGACTCTGAATATTTGCCGGCGTTCTTTGGGAATTTAATGTTTCCGGACTAGCCATAGCTTCAACCCAGGAAAGTACAGAAATATATAGGTGTGATACCATTTGAGGCCTAGTTCATGCTGGTTAGGACCAAACTAACACAGTTTCTGCAATCTGCTCTCACGCAGCATCAATCAGGCCTACCAAAGAAAACTTTCCCACTGTGCAGAAAAGTCCACATTAATCATGGAAATAGCAACATAAACAGACTATGAAACTGCAACATTTTTATATTAGCAAACTTTGACCTCTACTGCGCATGCGCATTATGATAGGAGCTTCTTTCAAATTTCAAAGCAACTATGAATTGCCTTGTGTAGAAAAAGCATTTATGATTGGAAAGTAAACTAAACAAGTGTGCACACAAGTATCATGATGATAAGTGCTAAATAACACAACAGAAATACTTTGAAAAGGGAATGTAAGTTTTGTTCAAACTGGAAAATGTCAACATACAGTCAAGACTTCCTCTTCCATGAGCACATGCACAAAATCAAAGCTGCAGGCTCTTGTTTTTTTTATCCAGTTTTAGTTTTAGCAATTTAAAGTTACCGTTTGACTGTTTCAGTAGCTAGATGTTATGTTTATGTTGCTATTTCCACGATTAATGTGGACTCTTCAGTGTTTCTCTGCACAGTGGGAAAGTTTTCTTTGGTAGGCCTGTCAATGGATATGGCTGTTAGTAGCTCTTGCTTCTATACAGGATCTTACATCTGGAGGCCATCTGCCTGTAAGGTACAGTCAAGATTGGATCAACCAGCATTGAGGGACGCAGCTAGACTGTCATAGTGTCTACTGATCTAATTCAAGGACATCGCATGATGGAATTATTTCCAACATCATCCATGGGACTCTAATCAGGATGCCAATCAGAATGCCTCGGCTTTTGTTGAAACCTGGAAGATCGTAATGACCAATCAGTGGATCCTCAAAGTTATCAGGGAAGGATTTCACTGCTGGGAGAGGGGGAGCAAGGTTCAATGCTTGTCAGAGATACCATGATTTGCATTGATTATAGTGTCACAACCGAGGGTGAGATATTTCTTCAGCTACGACCTGAGGTTGTTTGATCATGATCATGATGTCATCCAGGGTATTGTTAACTGAAATGACATCATAGTCCTGATATTGAATACAGAAGCAAGACGTTCTCTGGTGTTATTCCAAAACCTTAATGCAGGTCTATTTCTTTGGTCAGTTAACATTGAGAGTGTGTTTCTATGGTTGTCTTCCAAACTTAGTTTGCTGATACTCTGGGCACTCAAAACCTTCTGCAGGATGCGGCAATCAGGTGTTAGAGGGATGTATTTTTATGAATTTTTGAATGTTATCAACAATGATAATAGTTCTTAACCTCTACCTCTTACACCTGAGGTGAAGGCCAATCCATCCCAGTACTCCCAGAGTACCACTCTTAAGGTGCCCATGGAAGAATTATGAGGTCTCCAATGCCATAGGTGAGATAACTCCTGCTTATAGGGCTTGGAGGACCACTAGGAAGAAAGACAACAGAAACTTTGGACTTTAAAATAATTATTCAAGCTAAACCTCCAAATTCAGAAAAAAAGTTTCATGAAAAAGGCAATCAAGTGTTAGAGTAAGTATTCTAAGAATTATTATTATTGTTGATCATGTTTCAAGTTTTTGAGAAATGGTACAAATGGCTGTTTGTCTGTTACAGTTCAAGACATCGTGTTCCAGCTGCAGAAATTTGTGACAGCCATGGCCAAGTATCACAATGACTGTCACAGTGTTATGAAAGATGCAGTAGTTTTCCCCATTGAGGTAGACCTTTCTCGAGGCACCTTCACATATGACATTGACAATACCTTCAATGATGGAGAGGATGATGACGAAGGAGAGGAGGCAGTGGAGGAGGGAGACGACACCGGGGCAACACGAGGTGATACCGAGTTCAGCTTTGGGGAGACAGGGAATCTCATCAGCACTGACTGATTTCATGGCAGACATTCAGCATGTGGATCTCCAGTCCCAGATTCACTTGCCTGACCAAACTATACGGATTTGCAAGCATGAGGAACTTCTGCATTCAGTTGTCCATTTTACTGAAAGGCTGCAGTGACTTCAAGCAATCACATAAAAGCAGGCTTATGCTTCTTACCCACTTAGTTTTAGTCCAAGTGAAGCAGCTGAAGTTGAAGGTTAATATGAGATGATACAATGTTGAAAATATATACCAAGTGACAGGATGGGATCTAATTGCCCTAGGCAAAATTTGAAAAAGGATTGGGTAAAATGTGAGTTAGTAGTAAGGTTGAGTTTCATTTCATACTCAGACCAGTGTATAAATAGTTTTGATATGTGGCCTGTCCAAGGACTGGCTGTCCCAAAAAGTGGCTTGTCCTGAACAAACACAGCCAGTGCCAAAAACTAAAACCATAAAAAAATCAACAAATATTGAAACGAAAACGAGAAAGAGCATGATTGCTAAGATGAAGTTCAAAACAAATGAAGTTTGTTTTTGTTTTTTCAAATATTTCGCCCGACCAAAGGATGGATTTACTTACTCAATAGACTGTCCTTCACAAAAATAGACCGTCAAGGACGGTGGTGTGGGCTATATTTATACACTGCTCAGAGCTAATGAAATGAGGTGTGAATGCCTGATGAAGACAGGATGGAAATGTTTTGCATAATTAACACTCTGTATCATATGCTTTATACACCTGTGGTTATCAACTAGATTACCAAATTGACCAGTTGTGTGGACAGAGTAAAACACTATGGTGGACATGTGTAGTTATTGGGTTGTAGCTGTTGTTTCCCAAGTTATCTTTCACATTCCACATGGCATTCCATGAACAATTGTTTAATGGGCAGATGGAGACTGTTTACAAGTGTTAACATGATACAACCACATTCATTGCATCTTCAGTGTCTTGTATATCTTACATTTAGTTCTCTTTAGTAAAGACTTCCTCAGCCATGACAATATGTTGCAGTACTTTCATGGAGATCTGTGCCACAGGTGTAGTGAGGCTCTCTTGGGTCAACAATATATGTGAGGTTTGGATCTCCCAGAACTGCAGTTGGCTGTGGTTCTATGTTGTGTGATGCATTGAACTTCGTGCAATATCTACTAATTGTAATGTTGTTACTGTTCAAAGAAAATAAGAAATAATAAAAGTATACCAGTGAAAGGATTACAGTTGTAATTTACTTATGATATAAACAAGTACAAAAGTTACTGCTGCTGCTGCTCTTAGACCAGACGGTCACTATATTAGTGGTTGTTTAATGCTGCACTTGCCCCAATCCCATCCTGGATCAGACAGTCCATCTTAGGCATCCAATTGGGATATGGTGACATGGGTCAATAATCTCTGTAAATGTGACCACATCATCCAGTTTGTCAGGGATTGCTGAAGGAATATTCTGAGTGAAGAATATTCACAGAGCCATCACTATAACTCGTAGTCTTGGGATATGGAACTATGTACATAATATGAAATGTATCATTCTGATTATGAGATAATGCAAGTTTCAAATGAAGCAACAAAATACTGAAATGCTGGCAGCAAACGTGACAGTTCAAGTATCTTTTAGTGAATGAGTATGGTTTTATGTTGCTTTAAGCAATATTCCAGCAATATCATGGCGGGGGATACCAGAAATGGGCTTCACACATTGTTCCCATGTGGGGAAGCAACTCTGGTCTTTGGCATGCTTTAATCAGTAACTTTAAAGACATCATATAAACATCTCTCCAGTCCCTTGGCCAACTAATGAGACCTGAAGCCGTAATGCTGTGACTAAAGTCTGTGGAACATCATGAAAACAATATTCAGTCTTAAAATTAGTTGCTAATTTATTTAAACATTGTATTGAAAAACACCAAATTTAATTATGCACAAGAGACATATACTATCATGCAAGGCTTACAATTTGGATGTTTGTTGAGAGTATACTGCAGAGTAGCAAGCAAGTACAAGTGGCAAACAGACAGCCTTTATAAGTGTAATAGGCATAAGCATATGTAAAATGATGTGGAGTTTATGTAACCTTTCAGCACATCACTTGTCCTCTGCTTCTTCCAGGGAACAACCACTAACAATCTAGTGTTATATGTGGTGCAACAATGTTTCACCTGTTATGCATCGCACCTGTAGAATCAAGGCGGAGTCAGTGGTGTGCTATATTTAGACTTGTGAAGGTAGACATATGTGAACGTATCCCAATTGCGTAGATCAATGCTCATGCTGTTGATCACTGGATTGTCTGGTCCAGACTTGATTATTTACAGACAGCTGCCATATAGCTGGAATATTGCTGAGTGCGGCGTAAAACTAAACTCACTCACTCATCACATTAGAACACAACTGTTAATTATATCACTTTTCTTTGCTGTTTGTTGGTTCATGCACAGTTCTCTTACGGACTGATTCCAGGTTAACTATTTAGTTTCAACTTGTCGACCAACACGCTGAGTTTCCCCCTTACATAAACATACATGACCTCTTTGGCATAGTAAATTAGCCAGTCTGGCTTGGACAAGCCAATATATCGATCCCTGTATACCATCTTTACCATAGTCACAAAGTTATATTACAACCAGTCACATCCAGCTGACAGGTGAACCAGACAATAGATCTTCTCTCCCCCCTTCTACATGGCAATAGATAAAGACTCGCGTAGACCTGACGTTAATAACCAATAATAATCTGAAGAAAACGTCGATAGTTTCACATTTTGAAATGATTTTAGGAAGTTGTGAAATACGAGAAAAAGGCCAAATGAAAAATACCAACATACCGCCAAGCGCTTAAATCAATATGGTGTCATTAACCATAGCAAAGGAACTTATCCAAATCTCAATTTAACTCTCTGTCTTGATAAATTGACCCTAAGGAATAATTAAATGGCAAATTAAACAAAAAAAAAAAAAATTAGTTAGCTCGCAGACACAACCATGATTCATGTTGCCATGCTAAATACTATGGTTGTATGACCTGTTGTATGACAAGTGTGGTCACTTTCAAGATTCCGGCACACAACAATCAACAAATTCTCAACAAATCACATAAGTATCAATAACCGAGCACAGTGTCAATATATGGTGTAACCTCTGCCAACTGCAATAACATGCTTGACCCTCATCCTCATTGACGGTGTCAGACATTGAATTTAACGTTGAGGTATTGTGTTCCATTCTTTAAGAATGGTTTGTTCCAGTATGTCAAGATTTTGTACTAGATGATCTCTTTGGCGTATTCTGGCCTTATCTGTCATCCGTGGCATTGTGGTCTGGACTCAAGGCGGAACAAGGCTGAGTTGCTACCGCCTCTTGACGCACGAAAATACCAACGACAAGTGCATGATGTGACCTAGCAGTTTCGTCCATGAAGACAGGCCTTGTTTGGAGAGGATGGTCATCGAAACGTCGGACAACAAGTCTTGTAATTCTGAGTAGGGCTGTATCCCCCCTAGGAGTTGTCACAGTTGCCTGAACGCTGAAGGTCCTTAGCGTTATTAGTTTGCTGGTGTTTTCTGGCCAGTCGGCTGATTGTCGATGGATGACTACCAATATATCTTGCAATCGCCCATAATGACATGCCAGCATTCATCATATCAATAACTTGCTCTCTGTAAACACCTGTCAGCTGAGGGGTCCCATATTTGCTTATCAACAACGAAAGCGATTCATTTTCCAAGTTATCGAGCTGGAAGAGCAGTTCAATGAAACTTGGCATTTCTTTAATGATGTGTACACGTATTGCACGTGATGCTTGCCTTTGTTTGTTGAACGTGCATATCTGAAATCAATATAAGGTGCGCCCAAAAGGTCAAAATAATCATACAAGCAAACATAGTTATGATATGAATATAATGGCTGTATCAGTATATGGTGTGTGTGTGCGTGTGTGTAACATCATAGGTGTTATGGAACTTTTCTCCATGTGTATACAATATCATAGAGGTAGAGGAAAATATCTTGGACGTAGGTGGCTGTGTCGTCCATGTAGATGAAGGTGTCGATGTGTCCATGTAAGAATCATCCACGTAGATTTTAGAGGTATGCACACAGATGAAATGATCACTTACCTATATAAAAAAATTTGTTTACACTGTGACACTGATACGCTTCCGACAAAAGTATTAGATGCGTTTGTGTTTGCAATTAAATCATGGGCGGATCCAGGAATTTTGAAAGGAGGGGGTTCAGGGGGTTCGAACGCAAAAAAAAATCTTCAACGTGATCTTAAGGAGAATACGAACGAAAACAAAACTTTTGATATATTGTAAAGGATATTCTAAAAGTCACATTCCGTGATTAAAATTGAACAAAAAGTTTGTAAAATAGCAATAAAAAACAAAAACGTACTCGTATTTCCGCCTATTACGGAAACACCCGACAGTTAATGAGCAGAGGGGGTATCACGTGACATGACGTCATATGTGCCTGTTGCTGATGGCTTCCTCTTAGATTTTACCTCACAACTTAACAGGTTCCGTGGATTCTGAAGCAGTATAAGATGTTCCTGATGTCATTTCTGAAATGGATGTTAGACCGTATCAATACCGTCAATACCGTCATTTTCAAAGAGAGGGGGTGGGTGGGGTTGTTTCGAACCCCCTGAAGCCCCCTCTGGATCCGCCAATGTAAATCACAAACGAACATCGATCTATCTCTTGTAATTTGTGATGCATCTAAAATGCATCCGGTTACAATGTGGATCTATGTACTGGATTAGATTGGTTCATCGAGAACGAAACTTCACGAAAATATAGTGTTGTTGTCCACAACAAATTCTCTCCAAGTAACCTGTGTTGCAGTGAAATGTTATACTTAGTGCGGCGTTAAACAGCAACAACAGCAATAACCACATTGCAATTGCCAGAAATATTGCTCGAATATTGTTAAAAGCGGCGTAAAACTAAACTCAGTTACTCACTCACTCCTATTAGACGGTCTGTGACAAGACTGGTTTCCCGATCCTCCGCTTGTTGTCGCTGCTGTTACTCGGCCGTCATAGTTGAACGTGTCCCAGTGTGTTGGGGAACGAACGGGAACCAGTCTGCCTGCGAGAGAGACTTGCCTTAGACGGCCGGGTTGGTGCAGCGACACCAAACACAGCTCGGTCCCCTGGGCCTGGGTATGAAGCGTCAGCGCCAGCATGTATACCAAGAATGGCACCAAGCGGGCGATTCCAGAAACCAATCTACCCACACACCAGCGCAGTGATGTGTACGGGTGAAGTACTGGTAAAGCTGGGCCCTGTCTCAAACCGCAAAAACAAGGGCAGCCGGGAACCCGCTTTACATACGGTTCACATGGTACTCAGGGTAGGAGAGTGGTATCATCCCCAAACGGCATCAAAATTGGCTGAAACTGCGCTCATATATAGTATCCGACTAATAAAACTCAACCGACCACCATACATTTATTTTTCAGACAATATTTGCCAACTCATAACAATATTCAGTCGTGTGCCAGACTTTCAGAACCCCGGATGTTTCGACGCAAGCAAGAACAGCTCCCCTGAGAGTTGGAGCCTCGAATGTGACATGCAGACGTGGGGCATAAGTATTCGTCAGTTGCCAAAAACGTACGCTGCTCGCGAAAATCGAGGGTGGCATTGCAATGTCAGTGCTGCAGGAAGCTGACCGGGCACGTGACGGTTACGTCATTTATTGACGGCAAAACAACGAAGCTGGGCCCCGTCTCGCATATCGCAAGTTTGTACGCGCAAAGGGAGCCGAGAACCAGCTTAGCACACAACCAAAATGGCACATAGTAATTTAATCCAAACGAATTCTTTTCTGCTGGGATTTTTCTCTTTGATTCAACATAACAGGCAACATTCTCCGATTCGAACAAATGCATCTTTATGGATGGAGTTTTAATAAACAATTTTAATGTAGACTCTATCTACTATCAAAATGAAATTAGCAATAAATCTGCATGTGTGTATCAATCTTGTCTTTCTTATTGTTGGAAATAATTTTAAAAAATTCATAATGCGGATACTTTTGTGCATATAGTATATCTCAATAACGAACACTTAGCGCAACTTAAAGAGACGTTCACTTGAATGTTATATGAGTAGATCTACACGATGTTATGTGTGATATCGATTCAAAATAGTATGAAGATTTGGTGCCGTTTTACTTAGTGCCGTTTCAACGCGGTTTCATTTTAGCCAATAACTTCTAGTTCAGCTGGCTGATAGTAGTAAATGGTTTCTGTGACTGGTCGTAGTGTGCGATTAGGACGAGCAATGAGCGATCAGTTAAAGATACTTTATCAAAGCAAAGATGTGTTAGTTGTAGACAAAAATGTTGATACTAAAATAAATTCGAACGATGAATGTGCCAACGAAGTGACCGTTGCGAAACAGCTGGCAAGTAACTTCCCTCATCTCTTAGATAACACCATAGAATTCGGATTCAGGTAAGTTTGGGATGCAGATCAGTTATGATTGCTTAATTCTGAATTGGTGAAAACAAAACATCCACATGACAGTGAGCGCATATAACCTTTCCGTAAAAGAGGTATGATATGGGATCAGTCGATAACGGCAGGACCTCAAATGGCTCGCTTGTTCCATTATTAAAACGCTTACATTCTCTCATGCCAGTAGCCGGACACATAACAGTGAAAACTGAACAACTCACATCGATACCCATCGATTTGGACTAGACTTATAAGATGTGAAGGGAGACAACTGCTGTGTGTAATGAAATCTACGTAAACTCTGTAAACGCCTTAGTCTTACTGAGATTCATACTACTTGTTTAACGACTGATTCGGTAGTAACCGGACACTGTCGGCTTAATCCGGACAGTTGTGCGACAGTACCCGGACACTCAACATTTTTTTAAAGAAACATGCAATTTACACGCAGAAGATCTAGCAATACATTCCAGTCAGTAGTAATTAACACCAAACACTGTCCCCATCAATTCCTGCATTCTTTAAACTTTCAATAACATCTTGCAAGATACGCCTTTCCGGCAAAACACGAATTAAATAAAAACAATCAAGCTTTGGGCCTCCACCTCTGATTGGGCCACCGTGTGACATTCTACCCGTATAAAAGGGTGTTATACTTAATATTTTATTGTCCCTAAACAGTGGACCAAATACGGATGTCAACTGCTGTGGTACGCGCCCGACAAGGGCTCCAGCGATATCGCGTACAAGCTGTCTATTTGGCCCTGGCCGAACCTCAGCATCTAAGAATATGCTTGGTATCTCATATGCTTCTGGTACAGTGATTTTTATAGCATTGCTATCGAACCTGTTGTCAGGTTCAAGATCCATCTTCAAGGCCATGAATGGCAGGGGTTTCACATGAAAAATGTGGTACCTATAATAAAGTAGGAGAAAAGTTAATTTTGTGTAGACAAGATAAACACGTAACATACATACGTCTCCTTGCTACTAGTACGATATTTTATGTCTATAGCTTTTGTTTTGTCAACAGCTGTAAATTTTACATGTTTGTCTTAAGTGTTAACTATGATTCGATTTTATATTGAAGATACACAGTGATATTAAACGTGTCATTGATAATGCTTTTCAAATCCAATTACCCGGTTATACATGAAAATACAGCAACTGGTTTTGTACTGATTGTGTATTCAAGGGCATTCGTATTTATTCCCATTCCCGGTGGCCCACTGTAGGCATGAAGTTGATTGAACAGCACTTCGAACGGATAGTCCATCTGTTTAAACATAACAAATAATAATCAGTGTGTGTTTAAATGTCTTTTATGTCTCACAAGCTACTAACATTAAATTAGTGAGAACATATGAGTAACATTCAAACAGTGAACATTGTTTAACAACTGTGTTAGGAAATGTGTTAAACACATGTTATAGTCAGCACAATTGACATTTGAAGTCAAGATCGATGATCTGGTCTATGGTCAAGGTGTCAAGATCAATGCAGCTCTGGTGAAACCACCGTGGACAACCAGAGCACCCCACCCACTCATCACCATCAATGTCGCCAAACAAACACGCAGAACAAATGTCCTCATCATCCGCATACACATCACCATCCTCGTCCTCGTCGTCATCGTATGGTATTTCTGAATCAGACATGTCCTCGTCACTGTCTCTGTCAGTTGCATTACGTCTTTGTAGGTGTTCCATAAAACGTTCTGCTTTCTTCTGTTCAGCAATTCGTTTTTTTAATTCTCTTTCGATCTTTTTCTCATCGCGAATTGCTTGGCGTGCAATTTTTTCCGCCTCTCGCTGTTTCTTTTTCTCCTCCCTTTCTTTTTTCCTTTTTTCTTTCATTTCATTTTCTGCAGTAAGTTTCCTTTGTTTCTCGAGTAGGATTTCTCGTATATCCTCCCCTGACGCAGATTTCGGTAGGAGAGTCCTTACTCTCTTGTTGGGTCGGTTTTGGACCTTTGGGAGAGTGAGATGTTTATCAAAATCAGTTGGGGGAGTGGTATTGCTCTGTGGAGTATCCTGGGGGTTGGGGGTTGTACCAGATGGGTTGGGGGTTGTATGAGGAGAGACATGGGCTATTCTAGAATGTGAGGGTGAAGAAGCGGTTGTCTGAGTTTGCTCGTTAAAGACATTGCTTGGGGCCAGTTTCAAACTTGAAGTAACCTTCGATTTGTTAAAGGGAAAGAGGCCAGATTCATTAAAACCTTTTATTGCATTTTCGGCAGTTGCTGACAACTCCCACGCACCTCTGAACACTCTCGCACCTCTGAACACTCTCGCACCTCTGAAAGACTGCTTCTGAACAGTCTCACCAACATGATCATCCTGATATTGCCTTACAGACTGAACACTCTGAACACTCTCCCACCTCTGAACACTCTCGCACCTCTGAACACTCTCGCACCTCTGAACGCTCTCGCACCTCTGAACACTCTCCCACCTCTGAACACTCTCGCACCTCTGAACACTCTCGCAGTCTTCATCCAATGAGGAAGGAAAATAGAGACAGGTCTAAGGGCTGGATAACATGTGATGCATGTGAAGGGAGACAATATAAGATGATGTTATTATCTATGCATGCATTACATGCATCCAAAGTGAGGTGAGTGGAGTGACCATCGACAAAAAGAACCACTGGCTTCTTGACTGCACAGCGATTGATATGTGGTATGAACACAGTGTGCAGCCAAGAAGCAAACAGCTCAGAGTCCATCCAACCACTCTCACTCCTGCCCAAGACTGCAGATTCAAATCCCTCTAGAGGATTATAATGAAACCTACTCCGGGATATACTATCATAGGAGTAACGTGACGTCCCAGCTGCACTAGCGCAGGCCAGAACCGTCACCTGAGATTTGTCTGAGGATGAGAAATTATACACATTTTGGCATCCTTTCTCTGCAAGAACTTTGCCACTTTTTGGACAAAGGGGAAACCCTGACTCATCAGCATTGAAAATGCGTGATGGTTCGCTTAGTAACTGCGCATCTGCATTTTGATTTAAATACTCTGAAAGCGAGTCAAACCACTGGTCAATTTTTTCTTTTGTAACCATGGCCCTTTCCTTTGCCAACTGCATAGGTGTTTTGATCGACAAAGTTGGGTTGCGTCTCAGAAAGGCAGAAAACCAGTCTTTTCCTGGTCTGTTATTTTTAAAGGGGTTGGGGCGATTTGTTTCCTTTAAAATGTTTTGAACTGTGTCAAGGAGCTGCTCCCTAGTCCGCCCGTACCCAATCTGGGACATCTGGATAGCCCAGAGAGAAAGTTTCTGCTCCTCCTCATGTGACAGGATAGGGGGAGGGCCCTTTTTGAACTCAATAGGGACCTTGTTCATTAGTTTATCGTGAAGAGTACTTCTTGGGATACCATAACTTGTCGCAGCTTTCCTAACGGAAATCCCTCGGGTATTAATGGCTTCTATCGCCCTTCTCACGTTATCAACGCTGTAGGTTGGTTTATTAGCATTCCTTCCCCTGTTCATTTTGTTGCAGAACCTACAATTCGTTAGAACATAAATAAGGAATAGTGCAAAAGATTTATGTAAAACGTATTATTTTCTTCATATAAGATTATATAATGTTATTATGTTTAATGTTAAATTTGATTTTATTTATAAATTAGTTGGATTGATGTAAATTTATTTGTTTATTGAAATGGGGATGAGATTGTTATTTCAAATGTGTCAGTTTAAATGTGTCCGAGTACTGCCTTCCCACTGTCATGCACTGAGGCAGTAGCCGGACAGGGCACAAAACGGGCCATTTTTAGAATTTGGTGCCATAGTACTTCGAAGCCGGCTGCATGCATTCACTAGAGTTCTTATGTCAGTTACATTTCATCTAAAACAAGTTGTAAGTAGTACATGATCTTAAAACCGGAAACGGTGTTGCTTAGCGGAAATGTAAGACTATCAGGGGGCGTGGCAATCAAGTAGGAAGGCAGATATTGGATGCTTTGCACATGGGTGTTACCTCTAGCAGACGATTTTTTTGTGACGCAGGGCGGAAGAGGAATATTTATGCGCGTATATGTTGCGCATTAACGCTTAACCTAATTAGCTATAAATATATGTTTAACGAGTGTCCGAGTACTGCCCGTGTCCGGACACTGCCGCTACCGCTCTACATGTTAATTAACTGTTCGAAGAATAATTTTCATAAATTCAGTAGGTCATTTCCTTTTGATATTTTGCAAAAATCTTGGAAATCATCTTCAGCTACGTGTACATAATTTTCTTTCATCTTATCTTTGATTTGTTATCGAATAACACCTGATTAAGCACTATAAGTACAACTTAATTTTAATCTATTCCAGAAACAGCCATGTTAAGCCTGATTGGTATGTCTAATATATGTTGTTTAAATAGTTGCGGTTTTCTTAATAATCATCGGAAAAATTGAATGGAACTAATGTGTACGTAGCTGAGATGACTTCCCAACTGGTAGATAAGTATTGAAAGCAGTTCGACCGAAACAAAATTTATTAAAATTATTCTCGCAAATCTATGGGAATTTCACTAATGATGACTCACTTATGGCCAACTACTGTAGACCATAGATCTACACACATCATATATACGTGTGTGTAGATCTATGGTCTATGTTTAACCTACATAGAGATAACCGGTTCCTGTGGTTACTGTCCCAAAGATTGAGTCCATGCCCACCTGTTTTACAAGGTAATTCAGAGCATGAGTGGTACAATTCAGTTAATGTTACTAGCTATTCTTAACATCATATCCTATGCAAGACTTACAAATCAACTAGGAAGATTCCTAGGGGTTATGTGAACCGTGCCTGAATTCAAAATAAGGTGGCTGTCCACCACCTGTCGATGGATTCTAGCAAATTGTACGAGTCAGAATAAGGAAAAATATGTATATTTTAGAGTCAATATATTATTTATACTTATCCTGACTCTATTTCCACTCAGTTCTTAGTTTGATAAAGGGTTTATTGAGTTAAACATAGCATTGTTCAATAC